CATTTATGTTGTCCAGTTGTCAAATTCCATGTGCTAGGTATATAGTTCAAAAGAATATTATCCTCTGAAATTTTTAGCTTTTATCATTCAATCATATTTATATAGTCCACTACTTTCTCCCAAAACATGATAAGTATAGGACATTGTAGAAACATGTGTTTTAAAGGATCTTTATCCTTATTACATCTCCAACAAAATCTGTTTTTGACAATCCTTTTCATAATGGAGTCCAATAAATTCTAATGACTTCAGTGTACCTTTGAGAACTTATTTTAGACAAGCTCACAGATATGGCTGGTGGCAGTCCCCCCATGAAGGACTCCATATTGATCAAGGAAGCAGATAGCAAGCAGATAGATGGTTACAATACCAATACTGACATGAAGTAACTGGCAGTTTCTTCTTCCTACTATAAGAGTCCTTGTGCCTTTAGGGCTCAGAGTAGTCATGCTGTGTCCAATATATCTCTGGATCTTCAGGTAAAACATTTTAATGCCTCCATTTCTTGCTGCCATCTCTCCTTGTCAGAGTAATGAACAGCATTCTGTAGCTAACTGTGGGCCAGCTTCAGAATAGCCTTCCTCTCCTGATTCCTCTCTCTTCCAGTTCTTTGTCTTTCTCTTCTCATTCTCCACAGTGCATCTCTTTCTGCCTTGTCTACCCACTGTGTTCAGCACTTACTTTCAAATCCTTCTTCTTAGCCCTGCCCTGCCCTGCCCACTAGCTCTCCATAGTATTTTATGGCCTCCTGCCCTGGTTTATTTCTTTTGGCATTTTCTTCTGTTACTGATCTCACATTCTTCCTGCCAAGGATCTTTTTTTAATCCACACTTACTTAATGTAACAAATAGCAATTAGTGCTATGTTGAACCATTTCCCTACACCAACTACTACAGTTGCCAGAACATACAAAACTTTTTCCGGTTACTTGAAATGTCTCCCCTATGGTTTTCTGTGCAATAAAAATAAGACTTTCCTATCACAAATACATGGCAGAAGAATGAGATGAAACTGCCATTCAAATATATACATCTAAAGATGATCTTTCACTGTTGTCAATTTTGCCTGCACAAGTTCTGAGACAGTCTTTTCAAATAGATGAGTATATGTACGTACAACGCTCCTTATTTATGCATAACTTTATTGTCTTAACAAAATTAAGACCACAGAATGGTTTAGAATTATCATCAGATAATGCAATATCTTAAGCTTTTCCTTGAATCAATATTTTGATCCAAATTATTTCGGAGACCAACCAGACCCCTGAAATGTAATGGCTTGTGACACCTCTTAGTTTAATTAATTGCACCAATGGACCATTTCATACACTTATGTTTAAAAGATAAATTGGGAAATGTTTCAGTGGCTTGAGCCTATACAATACCATTGTACTTATTGAAGAAAACAGCCTTTAAAAATGAACTGTTCCTGCCAAAGCTCCTTAGTACTTTGTTGCAATTCAGACATTGGATAGGAAGTGATGAAGCAAGGAGGCAAAACATTAATAATGGAAGGAATTAAAGCTTGAACATTTTATTTTTATTTGTGAAGATAATACAGAAATACCAACTTCATATTTAGCAGGAGAGAGTTTACAGGTCCTTTTCTTCATAACCCAGTTGGATTACTATGGTGGGATAAGCTATGCATATTAGTCTCCTGAGGAATAACCTAGATCCGACGTCACACATGGTGGTGCTTAAAAATAAAAGCTTTTCCATTTACAAAAAGAAACTGAAGTTCTCCCTATGGGAAAATGGAGAAGCTTCTGATGGATCTGGTTTTCTCTCTAAATAGCATAGCAAGGCAACCCTTTGGCTGTAATCTGTCTAAAAAAAATACACCTTGTGGCCTCTCTGTCAACACCACAAAAACAAATTGAGCTGAAGTAATTTTTCAAGTGCTCTTTCTCCTCTTTGGCATTATTGTGTTTCTCAGTTCATAGAGAATGGTAAATTTAATGTCCTCCAACATCATCTAGATAAGATTTCTCTTCTCACCAATACCTGACGTTATCTTTCATAAAACACTGAAGATGGTGAGCACATCAGCAAAAATGGAACAGAAGAGTCATGAAGTTATTCCAGTTCATTTTGAATTGAATTCTACAAATATAGTCCTTGACCAGTACTGGAGAAGGCAGGCAGGCAGAATATACATCTTGAACTTGAATAAACGTATTACAAATAAAGTGGAGAGATTCCAACAGATAAGAACTGTTATGACGTATGAGAAAACCATATACTGGTTACAGCAGGAGAGGAGGAATGAAAACAAAAACAGTTATTCATTCTGAAAATTGAATAATAGAAATTAAAACATAGTTGAAAGTAACCCATATAATATTGATAGTGCTGAGTTTATTCCAAAAATGTGGAGGCAAATTTTGGTGTACAGATGCCATTTTTCATTTTCAATACAAGATTCTCCAGATTAGATGATAGGAACGATTGTCACTTGCTCATAGAAAGATGTTGCCTGTTAAGACCATGGGTGAAAAAGAAAAAAAGATTAGCTTACCTAGCCAGTGGCAACTAATAGCTGGTGGCATCCAACTGTCTAACTAATTTTCAGTGCAAAATTTTCTTCTACAGACTTTTGAAGTTTAAAATTATGATCAAGCTGTGCACTTCAGTTGTATGGAATGTTAACTCCCAACATCTCCATCCAGTACAATCAATTTTGGGGCTGATTGAGGATTATGGGACTTGTAAGCCAACGTACCCGGGGAAACCTGCTATAAATAGATGCTGTATGAAAGCATTACTATTGACAAGACAGATCTCCCACTGGATAAAGGCAGAGGATTTGATAGCCCATAATTTATTCCGGTGAGAAGGATAACCAACTATGGAACACATAGGGTATTGAGTTTAATGTTACTAAATTTAAGCAAACATAACTATCTATATCCAAGTAGAATGTAGAAGTTCATTCCTACAGATAACATGCTGAATCATTGCTTTAGAGAAATTTAAATGCATCAATGAGCCAAGATAATTATCCCACGGAGACTGATATATGGCACTAGTTCGATATATGGTACAGATTTGATATATGGTATTATCTTGGCATTTCAGGGATTAAACCAGGGCTGTCAGGAATATATAATCTGAGTTGGAAATTGAATTAAATAGCTGTGGATAATCTGTGGCTTGCAAGTATTCAAAGACTCAAGTTTTGAATACTTACATGCTTTATATCTAGATCCACAATGCGGCACCTATATACCCTCAGATTCCTCTCTTGGTGATTGTCCATCCTCTTGACCAATTCCATCTTCAGGAGTTGATGCTGAGTATCCAGGAAGAAAGAGAGATTGTCAGGAAGGCATCTCACTGATTTGCCTTCAGATAAATTGTTACTTTGTTATTGGCCATCACCACTGTGAAAGTGATGTTGTGAATTCAAAAATTCCCTTTTGGTAGCTGTTTTCTGTAAGCAGCCACAACATGATCCTCAAATGTCCAATGCATTCACTGCCCAGAAAGATTGGGGATCCTTGCCATAACAACCATCACCCTTTACTTTAATGGTAAAGGAATAATGGCCCTCTAGAGCTTGGTGATTAACAGCTTCCAGCACCCTTCCACATTGGTTACAGTGGTTGAGGCTGCTGGGAGTTTTATTTCAACAATTCTTGGAAAGTCCAGGTTTTTTCCCTCTAGCAGATGGACAGATCTGAAAGATCAGCAATGACAAGGTATGCAAAGCTCTTTGAACAACTGAAAAAGGCATCTGGTTGAGTTTTTCTGATGCCCCATCTGTAGCAGTGTTTAGTGATTTATAGAGGAATATATTTATATTCCAAGTGGGATGGTCAAGAAAAATCATAGGACTCTGATTCCAGGGCCATAATATATTATCCGACCAGCTGCAAGCCACATGAATCTCATTTCAAGTTGAGGTTAACACAGGTTAACAGAAACGGTTACACAACCAGCAACAGCTGATTGAGATGTACAGAAAAGGAGAGAAAGGTTTTTTGGACTGCAGCTGTAAGCACTGAGCAGAACCTACTAGTGTGAAGTATATTTCTAAGACTAGAATTGTAAACCAATAATATAATTCTCTTTCCTGTGGCCCTTGGAGCTTCTGACTATGATTGCTGGATACTGACACCATGGTTTCCACCAGAGGCAGGAAACAAATGATAGCTAAAACATATGCTCTACAACAGACATATCACAGTGAAAAAAATCAAAACCAAAAAAAAAAGAAAATGTTTCTTGAGTGAGCTCAATTCCTGGTGACTACATGGGCATGTCATTTTTTTTTCTTGGAAACAATGCAGGATTGGTTTGTCATTGCCTCCTTCTAAGAAGATTTTAACTACGCAATGTACTGTTAATCCTAGTTGTATTTCCCATCCAAGTATGACCCTGTCGTATTTTTCTAAGATCAGGATTGGCCAGTTGCCTCTTGCTCTGATCAAGTGAACAGGAAGATTCCCACATTTGCCCCAAGCCCTATTCTCTCTCACAAGTGTTTCCCCACCCACTTTGCAGCCTTCTCCATTGAAAGTGCTGCTTTTAGTCCCCAAAAGGCTGCTCACTCTTGGTATCATCTAGAACAGCAATGTCAGAGCTGGAATATGCCCGTAATGGGCCGTAGAAATAACCTTGAGGAACAGGAGGAAGAGCCACAAACAAGGCAACAGTCAGATAAAAGAAATGTGAGTCCAAGGCAGAAATGTAATTTGGGAAGGCGTCTCAGACTTGTCCCTCCCTAGTTCTCCTGTAGATAAAAGAAAGGAGTGGGGAAGGGCATCCAGACTTGCAAGATTCTATTACTGTAACCTTATAATAAAAATAGTATTAGCATTCATAACTTTGGTTTCCTAGTCTGGTCTACCTTGAAGGGCTGACAGTGCCAGTATGGGGCTCACCTAAGTTTCAGAAGTTGGCATGAAAGGGATACACTGCTGGCAGAACATCCGCTAGGCCCCCTGACAACCGAACAAAAGGAATAGGGAAAGCGTGCAAAGAATGGCTCCTGGAATTCTTTCCAACCCCTTTACCAGCAGTGGCCTTCAGAGATGTCAATGTTTTCTTTTGGGCAATGAACTAAGGCGGGGTGTGGATGTTAGTGCTTTTCGTTGCGCTTCCCATGCTTTCTGCGCATGAAGCTGAAGACAGGCTGCAGAGGCTCTGCTCTGGGCCATGTTGCATGGAGGGGATTTAGAAGAGCAGTTGGCAGCTTTCCCAGGCTGTTGACCAATTGCTTCTCTCATAGGAATGCACTGGGGGAATTTCTTTTCGGGAATGTTTTCCTCTGCAGCCCCCAGCCATATGCAGCCCACTGATCTTTCTTTTGCCAGTTTCTCCCACCATACTAAATGTGGTCCTGCTGTGTGCAGTTTTCAGTGAGTTAGCCCACTGACAGACTGAGCCCTGAGAATCTGTACATAATTTATTTACAATGTTATGTAAATTGAAAAGGAGGTGCGAGATTCTTCTACAGAGTTCTTAACTTACATTCTTCAGACCTGGTTTCTATTTCAGCAGGAATCCCTTGAATGCTTTGCACTGGCCATCTCCAAGTTTTGTATTCCATTGACCAGGGCTGAGAGTTCTATCAATCTGCTGATTTTGCTAAGCTATAACTCCCAGCATCCTCTCCCATTGCTTGTGTGGATGGGGCTGATGATAGTGGTAACCTAACATCTGGAGGAGAGGCTCTCCATTCCTTCTACAGGCACTGATGTATTTATTTTTTTCCCCAGAACAGGTGTTATTCTCTGAGAATATAACTCTCAGTTCAGTAGCCTCATTCACAGCTAATCTAAATATGTTGACAAAAAGGCACAGAGTTGTAGCTTTTGTTATTTATTACAAAACATGGAGAAGGGGGCAAATGTCAGTGAATTATAGTACATAGGGTTTTTAAAATGAATCCTAGGTTGCTTGTGGAATGATTTCACCAGCTTTCAGTTCTTTACAGTGCTATTCTGCATTTGTTCCTGAGCAACTGAGATTTTGCTCTGAACTTTTCCTTCCACTATTAGATCAACCCTCTTACTAGTCCAGTAAGACTCCTTTTTCTTAGTCTTTCCAAAGGCTTATCAAACATTTGAAACTTCCTAACAGACAAAACTCCATTGTCCATTCTCAGAGAGGGAAGTGTGACATTTCTCTTTTTGTCCATACTGGGGAATCCCTTCCCTTCTCCCCCACTTTACCAATCAGCTGTTTTCCCTTGACTCCCACACTTGCCCATTAGGCAACTGCTCTTTGCCTGTAGTGGCATGAACAAGTTCCATACTTACAACAATCAAATTCCTCTCTGTTGCTTAGCTTCTCCACCCTCCTCTACTTTGGTTTCAAAGAAAATTGCCTCTGCAGGTATTTGATTTGGAAGTGAAGGTTAGAGAGAGCAGAACACTTTAATGCTACTTTGGGCTTCAGATGAGAAATGCTGCTTGCTGCTAAGAGCTTTTGCTGACATCCCTTCCATCATCTTCTAGGTGGCACTGCTGATAGGTCCAATGACTGTGACTCCTTCTTCCAGATGACCTAGAGAGGTGGGCTCTAACATGAGCTGCCAGTGCAGTTATATCATTCATAGTAAAAGCTGGGGGTGGATATTTTTCATCTGTTTGACTCTAAAGCACAGGTTCTCACACTGCATCTTTGCCCCAATAAGCACAAAGAGCAGGAATCTTATTAAAGAGGACAGCTGACTGAAATTTCATGAAAAGCTTTTTGCAGAGTCTGGCAAGGGCTTTACATAAGAGGCTTCACAAAGTGCTTTTAGCAGAGATAGGGAAGTCTTATGTAGGGCATCTGAACAAATGCTTGCAAAGGATGTTTATTTCAGTTGCTCCTAATCATGGTTGTCCAGGATAAGTCAACAGCAAGCTGGCAGGCAGCCACAGAAATATCAGGAATGAAAGAATAGAAAGGAGAACAATTTAAAGAGACAACAGTGATTGCATGGAATTGATTCCACAATTACCAAATAAGAAACACCAGCATCAGAAGTACTTTAAACATGGGTAGACATGAGTTAATTGGCATAAGGGATCTGGCCTAAATCCTGTTCAGATTCCTTATGATAATCTTGACATTGTATTGTTAATGGTGATAGACACTGATTGTATTGATATTTAATATGTATTCTGTTTTTTTTCTCCTTAAAGTATCATGTAATCCACTCAAACATTTCTACAACTGGACATATATATACACATAATGAATAAAGATATTTCTCATTCCATTTTTCAGACTCTAATTACTATATTTTATTTCTCTAATTAAAATATTTTAATCCCACTCCTAAATAAAAGTTCCAGGGTGACTAACAGCTAGTAAAACTAATTAATACCAATAATCCCAACAATTCAATAGCCACTCTAACTTGAATATAAAGATGTAGCAAGATAATACTTGTATATCTTTATAGTACGCATCAGAAATGAAGCTTCCTGTAGATTTGGAAAAAGTCCACCTATTGCTTTGAACACAAATACTTTCTGTTTATGCTTCAACATCTTCATTAAAATGAAAGTAATAATACTGTTTCATAATCTAAACAACAGTAACCACTTCAGCAATCTCAGTCTGTGACAGCTTGTCTAGTTTATTCATTTAGCCTGGGAGAGCTGTACAGTAATGTATTAACAGAGTTCTTCATTTGTTTTAGAGCTGAATTTCCAGTGGTTTTGAACTGGTGGGCATATTTGGAATTTTAGAACCTAAGAGTGCTCTTAGGCTCTTAAATGGTGATGGTGCTGATGGTGGGACTTCTCTGTTTACTGAATAGCTGCCTTTGGTGATTTACTTAAAAAGAAAAAAGAAAAAGAAATGTGCTTTTCTGTCTAGTCCTTCTCTTGAGGGACACTTCCTAGTACAATGGTACCAAGCTTTGAAAGGGCACTTCACTCTGACATAGGTTTGCATGGAGCAGTGATCCCTCCCCTCTGCCCCCGCTTCTAAAATGAAGTGAAATGGCCTTGTTGCTTCACTTCACATTGTTCTGAGCCCCTCAACTGGCAGTTCTAGCAGCTGGCTGTGGCAATTCAGGCACTGGAGCTTCTTCTGACTGTTAGAACCACTAGACTTGAGGCAACACAGAACATCTCAACAAAGAGAATCACACTATCTCCATATTCTTTGAGCTTTGGCCCCACTGGCTTTTGGTATGCAGCTCCAATATGTATGTGTAAAGCCAATGCAATTTCCAAGACTCTTCCCCTACCCAGATCCCTAATCCTGAACTACCCTGAGCATTGCAGTTCTATAATATTACAAGATTTTGAAATCTCAGAACAGTTTGGTGATATTTTAATTTTTTGGGTGCGGGGGAGAGGCAGGGAACTTCTTGAGAGTTCAGAATCTGCCCAGATCCATATAGAAGTAGAAAATATAATCCTCCCCATGCACAGGATGGGGTTTGTGGTGGAAGGAGAAGGAGAAGGAAAGATGATGTGATGTGTTCTATTGAAAAATAGCCATGTGGCATTATAGAGATTAATTGACATCTGTCCAAACAATCCATAAGGGACATTTTTCAAAGGCCAGTAGTAGCACCTGTTTAAGACAATATGGCTTTCATACTCTGCAATTCCAATGCATTAATCAGGTAAAGAAACGGGAAGAATAATATGCTCCATAAATTATTTGCATCTCATTTTAAATACATTTTAAATGGCTTGTGTGACAAACTTCCATACTTCATCCAGAAAGACTACATTATCTCTCCAACCAAACCTTTAAATGCAGAGTGCCAAAAGCATGTATTGTATTTCATTTTTAACTCAAGCAGATGCCCTTAAAATGTGAGCAGATTATGCAAATTGAAGTGTGACCCATATATTTTCAACTTCATTGCTTATCTTGATAAACTTGCATTTTGAGAATGGCTTTATATGAGAGATTCATTGGGAGCCAGAGGTTCCTAGGAGAAGAATTCTGAAAATGTCAAGAGTTAACTGTGTTCTAGCACAGAGCATGAGAAGCAAGGTTTGCATAAAGCCATGAAAAGGGCATCAGGAAAAAGTCACCAACTTTAAACCTAAGAAGGTATAAGATGTGGGTAGCAGCCTTAACAGTCAGAAAGTAATCACTTTTGAAGTGCTTTCTGTCCTAATATTCAGTAAAGACCCACACCATGCTGGGTCAAGTCTGTAGGTCAGTGTTTCTCAACCTTGGCAACTTTAAGACATGTGGACTTCAACTCCCAGAATTTCCCTTGCTGAATGGGGAATTCTGGGAGCTGAAGCCCACACGTCTTAAACAAAAGTTGAGAAACACTGACCTAGGTGCTTCAGCCAAATCTGAGCCAGCCAAACAGAAACCTGACACCTTATCCTTTATGAATTCTAAGGCAAAAGTCCACATGCTTCATCTGGATTGTCTGATGGTTTAGTTGTTTAAAAAAAAAGAAAGAGACACAGTAATGATTTTAATTATCCAAGCACTAATTATTGGCAGCAAATTATAATTTCAGTTCCTTTTTCTTCAAAAACCATAGAGGATATTTCAACAATCCTTGACCTTCAAACAGACATTCTTGAGTAGAGGAAAATACAGTGACCAATATCAAGGTTAAACAACTGAGCTAAATTAATTATGACTTTCAACATTATTTCTAAACAAGCACCAAGTATTTATGTCAGCTCAACAGTACTAGAGTACCTGTGCCATGGTTTTAATAGCCTTAATCTATAAATAATTTATTGGTTGCATCTTCTATATTTTACATTTCCTCACCTCTCCTTTTTCTGTTTCCCCTGTCCCTTTTCTTCTTTCTTTCTTCAACCTCCCTTGTCCCTGTAATATTTCATGCATCCAGGGACATGAGTGGCAGTCTACGCAAGCTGATGATGACATAATGTATTTGTTACTTATTAACATTCCACAGGACTCTTTTTTATTGTTGTTGCAACAGAAGAATATGGTACACATCTGCAACCTTCTTCTCAACTGCAGTCACACTTGAGCAACTGCTACTAGGAAAAGCTGCAACTTAATTTGAAATCCAAATGTTTGACGTACAAGATATCCCAATTCCAATTCCTTGAACTCCAGATTGACCTGGGAACAACATGTATCTTAAAAACTGAATTTCAAAAAAGTAGAGGCTTCCCTTAGTCTAGAATGGATTCCTAAATTATTGCTATAATTAGGGAAAAAATGTATGTGAACATTCAGATCTCTCATTTTTCTTCTTGGTAATATATTGCCTAATCAAGTCTCTTGCTTTCAATAGGATGATTCTGGAAACACTCCAAACATCTAGACAATATAAAGGAAAATAGGGATGGAGTATTCTGAACCCTTCCAAATAATTGAAGAAAAGGAAGGAAGAGTGACAAGATGAAAGAATCTAGAAATGAATTTTTGTATTATACTTAACATCATAATTCTCTAATTTTCTTTCACCAGATAAACTCAGGATCCACTTGAAGTTTCTTGTGATTTTAATTTAGAACATTGTTTTTATGTGTGATTCATTTTAGTCTATGAGTGTGAGGCATTCAGACAATGATTACAACATCGACTTAGTGTAATAAGGTAAAAATTTGCTTGTAAATGGCAAGGGGGACCTCAAACCCTGAATGTAGTACTTTGCAGATTTGATTTTCATAATCTGACAGTGTGAACTATCATTTTTACTGCTTAAGAATTCAAAGATAAATCACCCTTAAGTATATTTCAAAAAGAGGCATGGGGTGTTGATGATTTTTCAAAATAAAATGTTTGAGATGGGAATGTTTTAAAAAATAAACTGCATTTAATGTGGCATTTGTGTTGCTCCAGGAGCAGCTCTACATCTCTGAGATGCTGCAGAATCACACCTTTTCAATAGTTGTTCTCATTTATCTATGATTTATTTTTTAACATCCTGCAAATCTGTGGGTGCCCATTTCCCCATTTTCAGGTCCTCTTGCTGAATCCCACATTCTGGCTCCTTGGCTGTAGCCAGGCTAGGATGTCTTCAAAGAGATGGCCTTTCATTTCCTCTTGTCATTGCAATTGTTAGAATGTGTATGGGCATGTGTGTGTGTGTGTGTATACACACACACACACACACATAAACATCTATATACATCTATCTATACATTTACATACACATATATACAGAGTGTACCAAAAGTCAGGCTCCATCGACAATTTATTATATAAATTACATTAAATGTTCAAATTAGTTGCATTTCCTTCTAAACACTTCCTTACACATTTCATGCATGACCTTTGAACATTCCTAAGTACAGTAACATTTTCTGGAAAAAAATGTTAATTAATAAAACGTAGTCACTGGCAATATGACAACATGCTCTATGGGGCCTGATTTTCGTATACCACGTACATGATTACTTTTGTATATAATCACCACCTTTGTATATAGCCAGACAAGCAAATGTAACATGAAGTAAGGATGGGGATGGGTGATACAAAACAATCATTTACTTCCTTTTATTGTGGAGAGAAGGGTGAATGTTTTTGTGTTGCTGTAGAACAGGAGCAAGGGGTTGGAGCAGAAGGTATGTAAGATCCCTTCATTGCTTGCAACACTTTGATTCTATGAATTCTATGAGCCCCTTTTTTAGAGCTTCATCCAGAAATCCTTCCTCCCTCCCTCTGAATTGCAGTCTGTGCCCAGGAGCTAGCAGTGAAGAAGGTTCAAATAGGTAAGTTGTTTTCATTGCCAATTACAGGGAAACTCTAATAACATAGGAGATCAGCTACTGCAGTATCTAGGAATCAAGCTATATGTATATAAAACCCAGGTTTTAAATCTGCTTCTTTTTCTTCTGCCCATCTGTGTATTTGGATTTCTTGCTGTTCATTTCTTGACCCTGAATGTGGAAGACACCTGCACTGTATTCTAATAATGATCCTATCTGATCTTAGTTTCCTTGTGACTTTCACCATCATACCTGTGGCCACTGTAGTAAATTTTTGCTCCTTGTGCTTAGCATTTCTAAGTTCGCAGAAGAGAAGATCACAGATCATCTTAAAATTTCTTTTGAAAGTTGAGGACTGAGAAGTGAATGAAAACAATGGTGGTGTGGAAAGGACTCTACATGCATACAGTGAATAAGCTGATTCTTTAAAAAAAAGAATCTAGAAAAAGAGAGCAGTGAATACTCAGCACTTCCTGAACAACATGTGAATGATTTCATTAAGTAGATATTCTGACTTTTGACAGTTGACTTACTTGGAGTAGAGCTTTCCCCAGATGAAACTGAAGAATACGAGATCTCTTGGAATAAATTCTGCCATTAGAGTTTCCCCTCATGAAAGGATAGCAAATCATTAGCTGTTTTATTATTATCAGCAAACTGTTGGCCATCATATAATCAGCAAATTGTTGATTATTTATTTTCATTATTATATTTGTACTTCCAGGAAAGAGAAAAAGTGCTCCCAGGATTACCCCCCCCCCCAATTAGGTTCCAGATAACTTTCCTGGGCTGGATACCATGGACCTTGACTGTGGATAGTGATGAAGGGGAATTTTGTTTGGTTTGCTTCTTTAAAAGAAACTATAAGAATTCAAAACAGGATAGAAAGAATTTAAGGTTAGCCAAAAAAACCCAAAAACAAAACACAACCCTGAATATGGGAAAATGAAAGATATCTGTATCCAGCTTTGCTCTTCAAACTCTAGTTCTGAGGCTCTTGTATTCAACCATATTTGGGCTGCTGAATTTGGTTCTCTCCATCTTTTTTCCTGATAGCATAGGCATCTGTTCCTAACCACAATGAAACCAAAATAACAGAATGTGCATTGAGATGTCACAACACAGACTCCACTCTTCAGTACTTGCATTGCAATGACAAATGCAAGTACATATGGTCTGCAGTTTGTGTCATGTCATTGTGACACATGCTTAATCACATTCTCTTCTGCCCACTCAGCCAACCTCGCCCAACCTTGTGAATGCCCTGACTGATGGACTTCTATTTTTTAACAGCTACATATTAACAATGTCATTTCCATGCTGGAAATAGCATATCTTTTGAAATTGGCCAGCATCAGACAGTAAGAATTTCATTTAATTTGCTTTCAAAGAAAATTAATCAAGGTCTGCATATTATCGCTTAGCAGGACAGAAAGCCGAATGAGGCTATAAAATGAGACAAAAGTGTTGTGAGTCACATCCCCACAATCTGCCTTCAGCACTTGGGGGAAAGATCTTTTTTTGTTAGTTTATTCCAATCCTAAAGATCTCATTCAATTAAGAGACAGAGAAGAAATGGAGGAAAACCTATACACTTCACAAAACAATGAAAGTCACAGAAACTTAAAACCTATTGAGGAAGGCCTCTCAAAAATAAAATTAGAAAGGTCTTCCTCTGTTCATTAGATATTATCTAGGAGCTTTGATAAAGATATCATTGAAATACATGAGAATAACTCTGGAGATATAATTAGATCATTACACTATTTCTTACTGAAAGTTTGTGTCAGCCTGTACGTTAGTTATGAGAATAAGTGACGACTGATGTCAGCTCAAAACTGTGAGGGGAAGTTTATTCAATTAGGTCATGAGCTGAAATGCTAAGATGATCGGCCTGCCATGAGATAATATTGTCTGAATGCTAAAAGGCAATAAGCAAAACTTTCCAAGTTGGAACAAAGAATCTTGTAGTGGGGCTTAGAGTTCCAGAGAGCCTGTTTTACTATTATTGTTTCAATTGCAATAATAATAGGAAGAATAATACCTTTAGGTAAATGCTTCATTCTGATCTGTAGGACAGGAGACCACTGAAAATGAAAATGAACCTTTTTCTCAAGCCCATAAATAAATTCATTATAGATGGAAAACCTGAACAGACAATAGCTAGAGATGACGGGACTTGTAGTTCAAACTATCTAGAGGGACCCTGCTTAGGGAAAAGATCTGGCTTATTTATCACTGGACCACACAGCTCTCACAATAACTTATCTTCCTTTACTATGAAAAAAGTGCTAGTGCCACTGAATGTGGGGAAGAAGTATAGTGGTCTTGGTAGCAGTCCTGGTAATGTAATGTCTGACCAGGAGCTTCTTGGTCAAGCATGAAGTAATACTGAGGAAGTCGCTTTTTTCCAACCTGCTTTTCTTTCAGTAGAACTGACATAAGAGCTAATCACATCATGTAATAATGCTGTCAGAAAAGGGGCCTGAAAGGCAGTGAGGTCTTCAAAGGACAGATGCAGCAAATAAACAGCAATGGGTTGCTTTTGAACAGGGGTCCCCAAACTCTCCAGCTCATTAACTCCTTCATAGAGTTTCAGATTGTTCATCAGCCTCCAAACATTATTATATGAAAATAATTTAATAAATACTTTAACTACTAGTACTATGAATAACAACAACACCAACCCCTTGGATAGTCCCATCAGCTCCTGGGGTTGATATTGACTACTTTGGGGAACCCTGCTTTTGAAGGTGATTGATTGATTGATTGATTGATTATATGTCATTAAGTTGGTGTCAACTCTTAACGACCACATAGGTAGATTTTCTCCAGGAAGAACCATCTCTAACCTGGTCTTTCAGATCTTCCAGTGGTGCACCCGTTGCCACTGTAATTAAGTTCATTCACCTTGGTGGTTGTCCTCTTCTTCTCTTTCCTTTTTCCTTTCCCAGCATTATAGGCATCTCAAGAGAACTAGGTCTTGGCATAATGTGTCCAAAGTAGGATAATTTGAGCCTGGTCATTTGTGCCTGGAATGAAAACTCTGGATTAATTTGTTTGAACATATCTATAAGTGGATATTAGTCTTACAAGCTGTTGGATGGGACCGCTATGCCTTGCCTT